ATACAATTAATGTATTTATATCCAAGTGAAGTGGGACGAGGGTTCATTTTTATTATAATGCGGGTGGCAATCATGGAATCATGTGATGGAGTGATTGATGTAGTACGGGATGGTAATAGTAGGACTTGATTGGTCACGGTTGAGATGAGTGCGGAGTGGGATGTGCATATAGGGCTCCAAGTAGATGTGTAGTAGAAGCAGAACTACATTTGTTTCGATTAGAGATGTTGTAGTAGTGAGTGATGAGTGTTATGGAAAAGGGGGTGTTGAGAATTACTGTTTGCGGTGCTATCATGTCCCACTCAGCTTAGTTCTCTACCTCAAGCGCACGCGAGGAAGATGCACGAACTCATTTCGTTAATTAACATCTTTATCTTTGCTTTGAAGAATTATCAGTTAGCACAGACGAATCTGTCTGTAATACAATTATACTACAGTAGCTAGCGGAAAGAAGTACTTCACTTTTGAAGGAAAAGTCTTGAGATTCGTATTTTTGTGAGTCGCGGAAGTTTTGTGAATATTGTGAATATTGTGAATCTAAGGACTAGATATTGGATTCATTATATTTTTTATTAAGTTGGTAGGATAAAGTGGTGAGGTTATATATCATTCATTCATTTACGTCACGGTAGCTAAAATAAATAATGATAGTTTAACTTTCTCGCCCAGTAACTATATATACATATCTACCCGAGTATAAAACTTACATATATAACATCCCATCCGACTTCTTTTTTATTACTCATACAAACTAATCACATTCTATTTTACTCTCTATATCTTCCAATAATCGTAAACCGTAAACCATGAACTCATACATCGTATCGTGTCGTATTATGCTTATTCTCTACAGATATTATAGCAAACATAATAGCGAGAATTTATTTTATAGATAGAAAAAAGGGAGCGGATAATTCGATTATATTGTATAACTATATGACTATGTACGAGTAACTGAGATGGATCATAATTGAAATTGAAATTGAACCTTCAAGTTATAAAAATGATCGAATATAGAACTCGGATTTGGAGAATGCTATCTACTAGTGAGTAGAATCGGCGATGTGTTTAAAGAGGTATTTTATCCCTGGAATTTTTATATTACGAATATTGGGTTTTCTCTTATTCTCTGGCTCCGGAAGCTTTTATATGATTGAGCTACCAATTCTTTTGGTTCTCCCTTTCATTTATTACTAACATTCGCCTTTTTGAAATATCGGTGGATACTAATAAGGGCGTCTATATATATGTGTTTATAAGGTAAGGTAAGCGATATATAACTAGTTATATCAATGTTCATCAACCATCTCAATATTCACTAACCATCCCATCTCATATCTCGAATCTATTCTATCAAGACATAAACTTAGTATAATAAAACATACTCCTATTAACTCAACTAAATTAAGGATTGCTTTAAGTCCTTAGCAATAATGATTCCCACTGGCAAGTCCGCAAAAGATAGTTATAGATCAGAGCCAATCCTCACTATTGAGTATATACCTTCTCAAAAGTCCTCTGGATCGAGGGATGAAGATCATTTCTAACTGTTACACTGTTATATTCTCATCAGACAAAATGCCTCCAAAGAACTTTCTTCCTTCGGTTTTCATATCGAATGTCTACTAAAATGCAGGTGATGTTAAAGATAAAGTTGTAGCCGATACTATACCTGTACTCTGCACTAGGTACAATATCTACTGGCTAAGAATAGCGTTGGAGAATCAAACTTATGCTTGAGTTGGGGACTTTCGTTATATTGTAAAGTTTCTAATTTTTATTTTTCGACTGTATTGAAATATAGGCTCTCTACTCACTTCATGTTCGTCGTTTGATATTTTATTCTCCTCACCCCACCTAGGTTACCACAACAAACCTTTCAATATCGTTATAGCGCAAATCTGGAACACCAGGAACCCCAGGAACCTCAGAGTAGGAGATCTTGACGAATGAATCGAGCGGAATGATAGTGTTTGGGTTTGAAGTGTTACGGAGGAGAATAATATAGCTCCTTCAAGCAGGCCGGTGTGGTCATATAGAGCCGTGTGACGGTGATGGGCGTTGAAAAAGAAAGTTATTCCTGAGGAGGGTTGGCTTGAGGTTTGAGCAGAGGGCTTTTGCTGTTGTGGTGATAATGGTGATGAGGGTTTGATGAAGTTGCGACAAGTGAATAGTATCTGGAAAGGGGGTAATAAGGAATTCAATTTGTATTGATGGCTTAGGAGGTATATTACAGTGTTATTTGTATGTATAGAGTATAGACTATAACTTGAAGGTAGTGTAAGGCGGTCTAGGTCGAGCGAGTTTGTGGTACAGAGCAGTGACGTCAGTGTCAGCGATAGGCGAATAATAATTTGCTAAATTGAAGTTTTGTAACACTAGAGCTGCGCCTAGTTGTGTCACGGCACTGATGAGATTTTTTAGGCCATTTATCAGATGCTTATACAGTGCCGAAAATGATAATTATAGACATAGCATAGTCATAGCTGAGAAATCTATATATTTAAACGCACACTTGTAAGGTTGTATTGCTAACTCTATGTATTTTTGAAGGGTTTCTTTAATTATAACTATTCATACTCTTATCTTTTCTTTTAAATCTCATACGAAAATAAATTTATGGGCTAATGTTAAGATAGTAAAGAATGGTGTGTGCCATTATGCTCTTGAGAATTTATCTAATTCTGTATTAATATTAAATAGTGAGGGAGGATTGACCCAGGGCACTGAGGATATCATTGGAATGAAAGGCTATTCGATCGATCCGCAAAAAGCAGCCCGTCAGTTACATGCTAATTGGGAACTGTCGGTATAGTCATCTATTGTACCGGGGCACCGGCGCCGTACTAGCGAAGGGCTAGGGCAAGCACTAGCGAAAGGACCTCAATACACATATAGTCTCCATCATGTAGAATAGCAATCAACAAGTTTTTTAAGGATATCAACACTGAACACCCGTCGGGCTTTCTACCATCGTAGACCTGAAAGGTGTTCCCGTTGATACCAACAGGAACAAATTATCAATGCGGATCCAGTACCGCCTCAAGATCAATGGCCACGGTTTGTGGAGAAGCTTAATGCGGAAAGTTATGCTGCTTCGGTGACGGAGTGGTGGTTTATGTTGAAGTGTAACTTTGACAGCATTAACGGTAATTAGCTAGCGGGATTTTATGAGCGGGGGGGGGGGGCTTGAGGAGAATGTAGGATTATTTGCTGTTGAATATTAAGATGTTGTATCGGTTATTAGGTAGTCAAAGAAAGCTTTTGTACTATCATTCCATTAGGTTTTCTTTCAAAAAATGTGAAACATCAACACCATATATCAGCTCTTCCAGTAGAAGATGCAAACGAACTCGCTAGCTCTAAGTATCGATGAGATTACCGCGTTGAAAGTACAGTATCAATAATCAGCGTATTCTTCATCACTTGAAGGAGCACAAATATCAAAACATCCATCTCGGTAAATCGTCTCACAAGATTCCACCCACGACTTCAGGAGAGCTTTCTGAAAAGGATAGACATTTGTGAATCCATCTCTCTTTCCCAAATCGGCTACCAGGCATCTGAAGTCATAGGGTAAATCCTTGCATGCTTCCCTTGGCTCTATCAAGTAAACACGCGTCCATAGTCTGTAACATATTTAGAAACACACTGTGCTTCGTATGACTCTTCGGCAGTACCTTGTTATCAGATCAACATATCGAGCAGTTGATGAGTATCACGCCGGACATCTCTCGCAAAACCCTCAAATCATTACATAGGTCATCCATGGTGGGGAAGTCAGTTGCACACAGGTATTTAGGTAAGCATATTCGCAATCAGCCCAGCCAAGTCAGGCTCATCTCCCAGCGCATCTCTTTTCGTATGTGCGAGAACTCGTTTAGTACCTCAACTGGCGAATTAGACGTATAGAAATCTCTTCTGACTTGAAGTATCGAACTATCAGAAGATAGTTCCGACTATTGCAAGAGGCATTCAATCCAAGTTTTAGCAAGTTCTCGGGGTTCTCCGCAATTGGATCTTCTAAGACGAGGGACTGCTCAAGAGGATCTAAGGGTGCATAGATAGGCAGGTTACATGTACATGAAAGAGTACCTCGTGAACGCTTTAGGTACTTATAATATGGGGTCTGTGGCAAGTTTATCGGCAGTTCTCCGGTTAGTCTTTTGGTTAGACGAGACCCCCCTCGAAAAGGGGCTCGTTTGAATGTTTGCGGGATTGCTGAAAAAGAGAGTTTGCGAACTGATTGGCATGGGCCATGACCATATTCATTGCTTTTTAACAGGATCATTATACTGGTCGCCGTGTGGTAACAACTAGAGTGGTGATTGAATTACTAAAATATCAATAAGGATAGATTTAGTCGAATCATCACCGTCGCCGGAGCGATGTATCAGTCGAAACTGAACTTGGACCAGCGCCTCTACTTTCCAAGCCATCCAATTAGATTTCTTTCCGGGGTAGTTTGGCACCCATTGTTGAACAACAGATTGGCATGTCTCCGACTCCGTATCTTGGGCATAAAGCATGAAAACCATCTCGCATATTCGATATAGACCGCGCCACTCCACACAGATTAAGAAGCTGATAAGTTTTACCGATTCCATGAGGGTCTCATTTAGCATTTCCATATCATTCTCCGTGTCCGAATCCAGCTGCATTATATTACAGAGCAATTGTAGTAGAAAGAGCGCATCGACCATGTGTCCCATTTCCTTCTCCTTCCCTTATTTCACCTTTCCTACTTCATCTTCAACGCCACACTAAAGTTCACGCAAAAGTTGCTCTCCTAAATATGAAAAAACTTGCAGGAACCAATCATCACTCGCTGGCAAAAACCATCCCTTCACGCTTCTTCCAACATACCTACCCTAGTGTAACGAAGCAAAATCAAGCTTTGTTATCACGATCATCTTAAAACTAGATGATTTGGTATCTCCAGAGGATCTTATTCACTAGATATTTTCATCACTAGTTGCGTGGTGAGCCGTGGAATCCTTTCAATCAGCCTTTGACGAGTGTTCCGAATCTGAACTCGACTCTGCTTTTTCAACATGAGCTGCTTGCGACTCTGCATTTAATTATCAGCAGTTAATATCAGAACGTGGCGATTAGATGTGCTTACTGTTATGGCATTCTTCAGATAACTTTGAAGATCTATCGTCGGGATCTTCATCCTTCTTCACTTCCTTAGCTGTATCAAGTGGGACGGATTTACCACTCGTACTTTCTGGTTCAACACTTCGAATTTCATTTCTCTTGTCGCTTGGAGACGGAGAACGGAGCCTTCTCCCGCTTCGTTCAACATATAGCTCACGCGAGCCTAGAAGACCAGAAAGAATGACCTGCTGAAATTCTGTATTGAGGTATCGATAAGGTGATGGGCTTCTGTGCAGTCTATGGTATCGATCAGGGGATGGGCTTCTGTGCAGTCTACGGTATCGATCAGGTGATGGGCTTCTGTGCAGTCTATGGTATCGATCAGGGGATGGGCTTCTGTGCCATCTACGGTTTCGATAAGGTAATGGGCTCATGTGCCTTGAATTTGTGCTCGTCGTAAGGTCAAACTGGCGGCGACGAAAATATGGCGTAGAGGCTATGTTAGAGCCCAGATCTCTTCTGGGGTATTCTGGTTCATCTAATAAATATTGTAGGTCCGATTTTGTTTTTGGAACAGGGTGATGACTTTGATGAAATTCGACAATTTCTCCCCGTTGTGGGCTTGAATCTTGGTCTAGTTTGTTTCGAGGCCTTTGCAGAGTATTTGGATATGAGGATCTGTGTGTTTCCGGTTTCGGTTCTGCGTTTCTAGCATTGTACTCATTGGGTTTACCGGTCAGCTGGCATGGCTCTGAAGTTTTATACTTTCCGTTGTATTTTGTAATACTGTTTCCACCCAAATAATAGTCATCAGTACGTAGCTTGCTATGGAACTGCTGATACTGGTCGCGGTATTCTTCAGGCATTCGATAAAAGGCTGACTTCTCTATCCACGAGAATAGATCTTGCAGCTCTTTAGAGCCACCAAAGGAAGAACACAGTGCCAGTTGAATCTTTCTCTGGAACCATTTTAGGATGGGGTCCCCATACCGATCTGCGGAAGTATCTTGTCGGTCGATTTCACTTAGTTCATTGCTCAATTCTCTCCGAGTTTCTTGCTCCGTTGCCCAAAGATACTTGGCTAAACATGCACCTAAATAACCAGACTTGTTCCCTATAACATTTTTCTGCAGCCCTATCAGATCGGGTAAATATAATTGCGGAACACCTGATTTGTACACAAGCTCTTCTAGGTAAGAGACTTCGAGATCATAATCGCCAAGGTCCCGGGCAGCGTTTAACCCGAGACTTAGTAACTCATTGCACTGTTTTGAATGTGGTGTAATTCTGCAACTCGAAGTTTCCGAAGCTCGAGGCACGTAAATCGGAAGACGATCGACGAAAAATAAAAATCCATCGGAATTGTCAGGACATGAATTTGATGACGATTTCTCCTTTTCGCCCAATGTTTCCGCCAAGCTAACCTCGGCCAAGATCCACAGCAAATAAGAGCTAGACTTGATGCTTGTGGGACATCTTTCTCTAATGGAAGTCGCAATTCTTCGGGCATATTCCATGCATTGATTGATTGTTTGCTTAGCTGCTCCATCGACAGGGCCATTAGGTGGACATAATTGAAGACCAACTGTGACTAACACATCGAGCATAGCGAGCTCGGTAGATTCATCACCATCTTGCGTCCATTCACTGACGAATTTGTCGATAGAATCATCTACACTAACTCCAGTCCCAAAAAACAAACCTATCGCACGTTTGACACCAGAAGCATTCAGAACCTGATGGAAAATGTCTCGCATATCCCAAACTCGGTTTCTACGGAGGAGATATGCATATAACTCGACCCAATTTGACTCCCAGATGATGTCAAATCCAGGACTAGGATGCAATGAGCCCATGAATTTGACATATGTCGTTTCTAGATACACGAAATGGCAGAGGAATCGTATCTAACACTAGTAAGTAAAGCCTTTGGGGCGGCAATGAACTAATCCAAGTACCTTACCTGAAGTGAACTCAGCTCGACAAAGTCTTTCTTCAACTCCGAAATCATGTCTGATTTTGCCTGTCTCCACTCTATGACTGCATCTTCTAGCCATCCTAGAGTGAGGACCTTTACTACACAAAGTGCAGAATGCAAGTAGTGATGATATGTTTGGCCACAGTCTTCCGCCAATATCGGGGGATCCTTACTTGTGACAAAGTCGAGAACATCCTTGAGCGCGCCTTGCGCCAATAAGGTATCAACATAATCAATAATAAGATCCGGATGATTGCCACAGTAGGTGCGACAAGACTCAAAGTATCGTCTCGCATCATTAAACCTCCCGAGTCGTTTCAAACGTGAGAGCTCCTCCAAATGACTCTCGATATCTTCGCTACAATCAAACTCAAGGTGGATCATCACATCCTGAGCTACCTTGGTGGTCCAGGAAATATCGCTTTTAGTAGTGTGACGGGGCGTCAATTCTTCTGAAACATATGCGTAACCGCTGTCTAAACCATTCTCACTCTCGCTCTCAAATCCACGATAATTCTTTGGACCCCGTGGAGTTTCTTTGAAATATACAACTCTTTTATCATTAGAAGCTTCAAACGATGTTGGAGCCGTGGAATTGGAGTGAGTTGATTGTGAAGTGTGGGACCAGAGCGAACCTCCACGTGATGATGTCGAAGCGGATGAGGCTGAGGGAGAAACTGTACGACGAGACATGGTAGAGTTGCATATATTGAAGATTCCCGATGATTTCAATGTCGAGTTATGATAATGATAATGATTATCTTGAGGTAGAATGTTGTTGGTTGAGGTAGGCTGGAGAGAATCTGTTCTGTTTTATGTCCCCAACTCTTCTGCCGTGCATATAGGGAGGGTTACATGTAGTTCAGCACTGCCTCAACGCCTCACTCTCTTGTAAGGCGCAGTTGTATAACCATATAAACGAGGAAATTTACATACCGTCTGACAAAAAGTCGGTTCCATCTTCTCATCATTTCCCTGCTCAGTCTCGCCTTTCTCACATGTCATAAATCTTACTGAACCTCACAATGGCGCTCAATTCTTCGATCACTACCCCAATAATTGCACGAAAATTTGGGCGCACATTGGAAAGAATCGAACATCTTTCTGATGCATGTCTGAAATATCAAGAATTCGGAAAGGTTGGAGTAAGCTGTCAGTTTCGACTTTCCAAATCCAAGTGGGGTGTGTTGGGGGATGCTGAAAATCCAGCGGGGATCATATATATGAGCCTTGGATTCGATCAACCAAAAGATTGCAAGTTATCAAATGCCACAGTCTCAATCACCTTGGAAGAAAACGACTGGGGAGAAGCTGGGGGGAAAAGAACCGCGAACAAATCTTTCTCGAATAGCCTTCATATTACCGATCGATATGGTCCCAAGCAGCTTTCCGGGCCAGAGAGAAAATTCTCAGTCACAAGGAATATTCATATGACTCCAAATATCAACGTTATCGGCAATGGAGCTGGCGGGGTCGGTCTGGACACAACCAAAGAAGTCGTTCTCAGTAGCAGATGGATTTTTGATGGGAGGCTAAAGCCCGCAGTTCACCCAACCCAGAAAGGTCGACATACGGCAGTATATAGGACGTTAGAGTGGGAGCTCACAGAGAGCGACTTCGAGCCACAGGCGGCCCATAGCAATATGATTCATACTGCTTTTGCTTTTGAGCATGAAGGCAAGCCCTTTTATATGGAGGTCAACGTCAAAGGGAAGCTGAAAAGTACAAAGAACAAAATCTTGAGACATCTGAGATTTTCTTCGGACCAAGACAAAAGCAGAGGCTCCACCTCAACTTTTGTTCATCTCCCGCGTGGGAATCGCAACAGCGCGCGCCTCGATGCCCTCGCCGATAGGCTACCAGAATCAATGAAGATGGAAAACTTGCAAGAAGTGCGGACAGAAGTGCCAGATGCACTACCTGCATCGATCCTTATGGGAGACATTAAGGGAGCGGCGCCTGGAGAAGGATTCGATGCACCAAATTTTGCGTTTGCACCATCTACTGAATCAAGGCCACCTACACTCATTGCGAGTTCCACTGAACGAGTTACGGTTCCCTCCATACCCATGGACTCAAGGGTGTCCAACATTGCTTTGACTGATCCAACATATCCATCCATCGAAAATCTTTCCAGGGTCCATCTAGTTCTTGCAAACCCGCTTCAAGATGGAAGCCAGACATCCGAACAGCTTCCGAAAAACACAACGTTGACAACATCAGACCCAGCAGCCGATCCACAAGATGGGTCACAATCAGAGAATGGGTCTTCCTGGTTTCGGTCGGAAAGTACTTTAGTCGATGAGCGAGATGCGGAACAGGTAGACGATACGAAGCTGGCGAAGCATAAGGATATCCAGGACAGCTTGCTCCTGCTGTCACAGTCGCCCTATTTCCTGGTGCTCCTCCGTTTAATAATAGGGTTGATGATGATGTTCGGAAAGAAACAGAAGCCACTTGAAAACCCCCCTTGTTCCGGCGAAGACATCAATAATATTAAGGAAGATGGCAAGCTTAACCAAAACGAGGTGACACAATTTCTTAGGGGAGGAAATTAAATGGGTAGCTTTTTATGCTGAAAGTATTTCGGGAGTGACAACATGATCAGGGGGAGGGGAAGGGGGTTCATTGACATCTCCTATATCACTGTGTAATGAAATAAAAGATGGAAATGCAATCAATAAAACAGTACCAAACACTTAGAAGAAAGTAGTAGTTCCAATTAATGTGGCTAGTGGCTGTGTGGCCAAGCGATTAGGAGCCACTAGTCGTTATCTTCTAGTAATTCATATGATAGACTGATAGACCCAAAACAGCCAATTTTCGATTTGATATATGACAATAACCTTGGCCTGTAAGGTTATATTGACATGTCCTCGAGACTTCATCCTGCGGTGAAGCAAGTATATTTCAATAAATACTCGTCTAACAGGGCGATGCATGCTCGGGGTGGTTGAAATCCATAACAACAATGCGGGCCTGTCTAGACAGATTCTAAGACTCTCACTTCTAAGTCTAACAACGCTACGATTTGACTACACTTCAAGTACCATGGGAGAGCACGGATACTGTGCTTAGCAGAGAGATATGGCACAACCCGCAATAGGGTCTCGGCCTATACGTGCGAAGACTATCCAGGACCAGGACCAGGACCAGGACCAGGCCCTCCAGTCTTTAATACGCTGCGACGGATATCTAAAGGGGTAAGGAACTCCGATACAATAGTCGCAGCGCACCGAATATCGTTGGAAAATATAAGGCTTACCACACGGAACTTCAATATCTCATATTGTTGAGCTTCGGGGCCTAAATATTACAAAAAGGGATGGAGATGCGTAGTCGCATCTTAAACTACTAAGGCCAGGCAAGGTTTGGTGTATATTCTTCTTTCAATATCATTCTATCCGTGGATTATATGGATTGTATTACTTTCTATACGAGGTCTAGTTCTAAGTACATTCTCATTTAATTGTCAAATTCTTCCTTTTCTTGAATTTCCAGTCTTATCCAAGTTTCAAAGACAGCATGTTTGTCCATGAGTCTGTTACATTCTACCAGATCCGTCAATGCATTCAACTGCAGTGTAGAGACAAATCTCGGTTTCCTTCTTTCTCCTTGTCCCTCAACGGCTTTGCTTCTCGATATTTGACCATATGAGGCTGCACTGTGCCTAGGTAACTTAGGTATGGACACAGCCGTGTACGAGCAAGATGCGGTTGTGCATGATCTATACCTATACAGTTGCTGCCTACTCACTAGCCCCCTTAAAACGATTGGGAGAGGTACGATGACGTAATCGATATATATACGTGTTACCCCTCCATCTCTCTAAGGAACCCATGTCTTCCTCCTCAGCCTCAATCATCAACAACACAATCCAATACAGAATCATGACATCAAGCGATGATTCGACCTACTCCCTTGGCTACAGCCCCGCAGTAGTCAACCGCCACTCCCTCCGCCGCGCCTCAACCTCCTGCTCCTATTTTCTCCACCACCTCAAGCCAACATCCCACATTCTAGATCTCGGTTGTGGTCCCGGCTCCATCACAACCGACAACGCATCACTTGTCCCCCAAGGCTCTATTATCGGTCTGGATCTTGGAGTAACAGTTGTCGATATCGCCAATGCAAAAGCTAAGGAATTAGGATTGAGCAATTGTTCTTTCCAAGTTGGTGATGTGATGAACTTGCCATTTGAGGATGGGACGTTCGATGTAGTGTATACGCACCAATTACTTATTCACCTACCAGATCCAGTTAGAGCTATCAAGGAAATGGAAAGAGTGTGTACGATTGGGGGATTAGTAGCATGTAGAGAGAGTGATATGGAAGATGCTGTGTTTTACCCCTCGACATCTGGTCTCAAAAAATCGGTTCAGGTTATGGATGCGATGATTAGAGAGAAAGGATCGGAACCTCATGCTGGGAGATTCTTGGGAAAGTGGGCTATGGAAGCGGGATATGCAAAGGAGAAGGTGGTGGAGAGCTATAGTTACTTGATGCAGCCAAGTTGGAAGAACTCGTTGATGACGGGTGATATTGGAGAAAATGCGGTAAGATTGGGGGTTGCAGGGAGTAGAGAGGAAGTGGAAGAGATGATTGGGGAGTGGCATGCTTGGGAAAATACGGAAGGATGCTGGTGGAAGACTGGGTGTGGTGAGGTTGTCTGCTGGAAAGCTTGATTGGAAGTGGGAGGACTAATCGTCTATTTAAGAAGAGATGACAGTGCATAGTCTTAAATCTTCTATTGTACACTAATTTATATCCCGTCGAGACCCCAAATTGGAAGAGTATAAAAGCTTACAACCAGTATGAACATAATGCCCTTCTTATTCTTCCTGCATCCCACTCCACCTCCGTGGCAAATAAAACCTAACATTCTCGTACACCAAAAACGTAACCCAAGTAGCCGGCAAAACCCTCACAACATTCGTCCCCAAACCCCTATAAAACCCCTTCCACCCTTCTTCCCTCCAAACCTTTCCCACAACCCCTCTAATTCCCCTCCCAAACCTCTCTTCCGCATCATACGTCTGCAACCTACTCCTCACAACCTGATACGGATACGTAGCCGTCCCCGCAATAATCTTCGCCGAACTACTTAATAGAAGCGTAGCCGTATTCCCCAGCTTCACCTGAGAACTCTCTCTATCACCTCTCAAAGTCTGCCCCGAAATATGATTCCGCCAGAAATTTTTCAAGGGTTCATAGACTGCAAATTGTACCGCACCATGACTATTGCCCAGGAGACTAACACCCACACCCCGATAAAACCCCCGTATTCCCTCATATTGCCACACATGTCTTGCGCCATGCCACATACTCTGATATGCGCCCGCACTCCCGCGATCCGAACTCAGCATGCGGGTCTTGAGCACCCAGATTGGATTTGTGGAGATGGTGATCATGATGCCCGCGGACCCGGACGCGAGGAAATAGTCGAGGGGGGTAAGTGATGCATAATTGGAATGCGAGGGTTGGTTATGGAATGATCGTAATGAGTTTTCGAAGATATTCTTGAAGTAGAAGAAGAGGGCCCAGCTGCTGGCATTTCCAATGAGGTTGGGGGTTAGGCCGCGGTAGAGACTGTGCAGAGGTTGAGGTTGTTGCGTTAGACTGCGAAGGATGGTGAGGCCGCTGGCTGGAGTGTGGGATGTACTGCGGTGGACTGGTGATGTTAGAGATTGGCTCAGATGGGGAGTGGGGGGTAAAGTACTTTGCAATCGCGTTTTGATAACATCGAGGGGATGGACGGCTAGAGTAGAGGCTGTACCGGCCGAGAGGCCAGCAATTGTCTCGACCAGCGCGGGGGAGATGCGCGCATGGTTTTCGGTCATAAGGGAGGAATTGTGTTTATCATTGCGAGAAAGTTGGAGTTGGGAGGGGCAAATTATTCACACCCGATGACGAAAATGAAGCTTTATATTTTTCGGGAGCTTGCCGAGGCGGGGGGCAAAGGAATTTTTGGGAAGAAGCTTCACATTACACGAATGACAAAGAGCTTATGAGTTAGTCTTCATGCAGAGGTTCAATGGGATACCAAGAATGAGTTTGATTTCGTAGTGGTGATTGCGCTTCTTGCGCTATTGTACAATTATCTTCGTATGGTATGTATCCACCATGAACATAAGCTCCCTGAGCATTTCATTATTTCATGAACGCCTCATATACTGTGATCACCATATCATCCTCTGGTTCATGACTGCAATCCCCAGTATACCCCAATGCTCGCGATTATGTTGCTTGATATAAACCTCATCCCTGACTAGTAAAACATTCCGTTCAATGGCCCATCATGAGGAGCTTACGCGAGAGGAGAAAGGAGTCTGTAATGAGTTATCAGCATTTGCTCCTGAATCTTGAAAGTCTGCGAAGCTACTAACCTGACGATAGAAGGGCGAGGTTCGCTGCGGGTGTATCCTGTTGTTGTTAGCATGCATGTCTTTGTGCTTTATGCTGGCTGATAATTCGTACCAAGATAGAGGATCAATGGAAGATAGCCACTATGAGGTATTAGCATAACTCCAATGTAATATATCCAGGAAATCCTCACTAATGAATAGCAACACGGGAGTAGTCAATGAGCTTTCCAATGCGCTCCTAAACTACCGTCAATAAAACCACTCCATCCAGTATACAAAGGGCTGCATGCAAACCTTAGATTCTTCGGAGAGTTGCATTCTGATATGATTTATTGGATTGAAGCTATTCAAAATTAGGATTCAATACACAAATAGATATGGCACATCAAAATACATACAATTCGTTGTAAATTCAAATGTTCTAGCTTGTCTTTCTCCAGTCTTGCTGCCATCACAAAAAAAGTTCAAGGTTTCCCATCATCAACAAGACTGCTGACTAATCCATTATTATTTTTCTGTCGCATGCATCTCAAGCTTCACTGTCAAGCTCCATACAAATTCACTACAGCTTTCTTCTATTCTCACCTTCACTCGAAACAAACCTACAAACGGGATATTAACTCCCGAGCTTCGGTAATTATAAAGATATGTCGGGCGCAAGACATTGGTAAGTTCTCCAGTTTCCAATCCCAAAGTTCAAAAGCTTCAAAATACGAAAAGCTAATCATGGCTCCTCATTATAGGGAACAAGACAAGGAAGCCACCGTCTATATTGGTAATATCGATGAGAGGGTTACTGATAGTCTGGTATGGGAATTGATGTTACAAGCTGGTCGCATTGTCAATGTACATTTACCCAAAGATCGCGTCACCCAAATTCATCAAGGCTATGGATTTGTAGAGTTTATATCAGAGGAGGATGCTGAGTATGCGGCGCGCATCATGAATCAAGTTCGATTATATGGGAAACCAATTCGTGTTAACAAGGTTTGTCTTACTTCCTTCTACCCAATCTGCGAAAGTGAAGGGGTCAATACTAAGTCATGATTTCTAGGCCTCCGCCGATAAACAAAAGACGGTCGAAGTTGGCGCCGAACTCTTCATTGGTAATCTTGATCCTATGGTTGACGAGAAAACTCTCTACGATACCTTCTCACGCTTTGGATCCCTAATCTCTCCTCCTAAGATCGCTCGCGACGAATCCGCTCTCTCCAAAGGTTATGGTTTCGTTTCCTATTCCAATTTCGAAGCTTCCGACGACGCCATAGCAAACATGAACGGTCAATACCTCATGAATAAAGATATATCTGTCCAATACGCATACAAGAAAGACGGCAAAGGAGAAAGACACGGAGACGCAGCTGAGAGATCATTGGCAGCTCAGGCCAAGAAACATAATGTTATGCCAGATTTACAAAGTATGCCACCAGGCTTATTGTTAGGCATGAATGGAATTCCACAAGCTCCAGCAGCAATGTTGAACGAATCCCCAATGCCCACCGCACCCCCCGGGTTCCCCCCACAACGCCCCTCATACAATTCCGCCCCACCCCCCGGCGGCCCTCGAGGAGCTCCAGGAGGCCCATCCCAACACCTCCCACCTCCTCCATCCGGTCTCCCCCAACGACCCCCTCCTTCGCATGGCGGCTATAGAGGCCCACAAATGGATTTCCACAATCAACAACCTCCTTCTGGACCACAATTTCCACCTGGGTTCCCGGCCCCTGGCGGTATGCCATCTGGTATGATTCCACCACCGGGTTTTGGCGGTATGCAGGGAATGCCCATGGGGATGCCGCCTAGTGGACCGCAGGGTCACGGAGCACCGCCTGGATATGGTAGGAGGCGAGAATAAGGTATTAGCAATGGGATGGGAATGAGAATATTCGTATGTTGAGAGTACGAAGTGAGGTGCATACGAAGTAAGGTGCATGTAAGATTTCAAGGACATGAAGAATAGAAAATGTCGAGGGATCATCAACAGAGAAGCAAATTGTGGAGGAAATGAACCAAAGAAAGGATATATCAGGCGTTTACGGTGGCTGGCGTCTACAAGGGTGAGTTACATATTCATCAAATGCGAGGTTCAAGACCTAGCAATAACATTTTCTACAGCCCATATCATATCAGCCTTTGTATTATTTATATACGAGTCTTTGCACTTTTAGGAGGTACTTTGAATACAACACGAAGAGCATAATGGCCACGGTCACGTCATGTCATGTCATGGTCATAGTCAATCATAAAGATGAGGAGCATAGTATAGTATAACATGATAAAAACACACATCACATCACAATACCCAAACCAAATCAGACTTGACTATAAAATACTCTGAGTACAAGTTGATTGATTGATTGATTTATCTTCTCTCACCAACCAGCCTGTTTCATGCCCTTTTATGCTTTATCTCATATCATCTCACATGCTTCCATTTTTCTCTCTGTATCTCTGTATCTCTGTACGCACCATCATCTATCATACAATAAAGAGAAGAAGAAGAAGAAGAAGAAAACGTATTGAAACCTGGAAATGAGAACCTTCCCTCCCACACCCCCCTCCAAATGCAATGCAATGCAATGCAATAATGCCCATTGTGCATGCTATGCTTATGCAAATTCTTCGTTACCTCCCTTTTCTTTCCTTTCTTTCTTTCTTTCCTCTCCTCTCCCCTTTATATCTTTCTCCCAGCATGAAGACTTTCCCCACCTAACCTCCTTTCTTTGAACTAATAAAAACCCCATAAACTCTCGTATTCCCTATTCAATCCCCTAAAAGATATCTCCATCTCCATCTCCATCTCCCTCTCCCTCTCCCTCTACATCAAGCTTCAATTCTTCCGCGTTCTCCACCCTCTGCACCTGCTCAATCTTCGCCTCCTCAACAATAGGCGGCTCAACCCACTTTGTCGCCTCCGTACACCACGCCTCCTCCACCGCAAACTTTCTTCTAAAAACCCTCAGCCATCTTTCACCCCACCCTCTAACTAATTCCTCGCCTCCGCTTGTTCCATCCCCTTCTTCCATTTCTTGATCTTTTGTTCCGGTCGCCCATGAACTAAGAAGTTCATCCATTTCCGTTGCTAATTCGCGCATGTTCATTCTTTCAACCTCTACTGTTTGGTTGATTAAATCTTTCTGTTCGGCCAGTAATCCTGGAACTCTTGTGCTTAATTGAAGTTGTCTGATTCTCCCGGTAACCTTGCCTACTGTCGCTCCAACCATCTCGTATACGAAACTCTGACTTAATTTCTTGCCCTCACTACCCAACGCCCATTGCACCACACTTTGTGGACTGAGAATTGTGTAATTGAGTAATTTGTCAATAATGTTGACACCGATTCCCGGTTGGTCTTTCCAATATTCCATAACGGAAGTGATGATTTGACGACGAGCGACGGGGGAAGCGGGATCAATGGCCAGAAGACGATCTTTACAACGTTCGATACAGGATAGGACGTGACTGAGTGATTTGGATCCTATGTAGCAAATTGACGTTACGTACGCATCTGTGGATGAAACAAGAGGATCTGGAAGAGCTTGTTCGACGGCGAGGGCGTGGATTTTGTCAATGACGGGTTGGATTTCATCCTCTGAGACCTTTCTGCGAATGAGGCCGAGTATTTCTTGACCTTCGGCACTGAATGGTGTATCTATTTACGGTCAGAAATGTTCAAATCTGTAAGAATCAGGATACATACTTGGATCATTAAATTTAAAATCAGGAGTATCTTTTTCCTTCTCCTCCGTAATCAATTGTTGATACGGTGGTGGCAATGTCCCCTTGATCCTCTGAGCAAAACTCAACCGAATCTCCTTATCCAAAGAACCAATGATAAAGGCCTTTTTTGGGCTCAAATCCGAAAGCTCTACATCATCAATCCATTCCGTCCACTTCCAAGTAAAACCGAAGTTACTCAAATGATGCGAGAACCAATCCATAAATCTATAACTGAGTTCAAGATCCATCGAATCCACATTTCTATATAAGAAACGGATGGCACGACCAAGAGATGGTGCAATAGCAGCTGGAGCAATCTTACAAGATTCTGTCAAGACTGCATGATAATAGACAAGCTTGTGTTCTGGGATTGGAAGTTGGAATAATTGTGAAAAGACAGCATCGACTGCCACATCTTCAGGTTTCCATGTTGATCTATCACCCTCGACATCTCGAAGTCTGTCGAATGGAGTAGCTCTCTTGACGAAAGTATCAGGAGCAAAATAACAATCAATATCGATCAAGAACTTTGCTGCCGCATTTCTGTTGTAATCCAAGATATTGATCGTATCAACCAAAGCATCTCTCAAGAGACACGACGAAATATCCGTAATTGGTGGTACAGTCTCGACATCCTGATTGGCATAAACCGAAAAGTAAAGCTCAGGGAACAAAGTTCTTGGGCCAGCGTTTACAACTTCGGGGAGTGTGATCGTAGGTAAAGCGTGTTTGGAAGCCGAAGCCAAAGCTTCTTGTTGTTCCGGTTCAATCATCTTCCAAGGTCTAGGTAAACAGAAGAGTTCCCATCCATTTTGTGATTCGGCCTGTAATTGCTTTTGCAATAGACTCAAAAGACCAACTGGCGCAATAGAATCATCCTTACCTTCTCCTGGATATGGCTCGACCAATGCTTGTAGAACATGTGGTTCAGAAGCAATGATGTCAGTATTCTCAATCATAGCCGCAGCCTTATCATGAGCATCTGTTGCCGAGGATGCCATGATATACGGAATCGTAAGAAGGATAATCTTGACCAATTCAGGTCCAATAGTCTGCCAATCTCAGTGTCAGTTAACCATCTCCAAAACCAAATTTCATCTGTATGTAAAGATCTCACCTCTTCATTATTCTCCGTTTGCAAATCCAATGCCTTGGTCAAGAAATCCTGCAAGACACTGAACACACCATCACCATCCAACAAGCCCTGCAAACTTCCCAAAAATTTCATGTACAATTTGACCTGTCTCCAGTCGCCAGCCGTGATCGATTTATTCAAGCCCCTAGCAGCTCTCTCCAACAACTCTCTAACCATCTCCTCTTTCAAAGTATTCAATACCATAACTACCGCCGCGACAAAGGGGATCTTAAATGGTTGCTCCACCACCAATTGAAGTGATAAATCATAGAACGAATCGCGTAATTCGACATCATCGTAATTGTCGCACACAGCTTTTGCTATTTCAGCAACTTCTGCCTCGACGCGCTTTAAAGGAGATTCGGCGATGAACAAAAGTTGCTTACGGACTCTAACGATGAGAGGTTCTTCGTAGCGGCGTCGTTGAGGTCGTCGATCGTAATCATCTTCATCTGCGGTTTAAAAAGTATTCGTCAGCCGTGTTTTTTGTGGTGATTATTGGAATCCTGGAGATCGAAACTCTCAAGCTTTACCCAAACTCAATGCCCCAGCGTCTGCATTTCACTTGAGTCCATATGTAGATCGCGCTTTCATCCCCATCCAGCCTCATCCATCCATATAGACATTCATCACCAACCAACAAAACAAAAACAAAAACAATCTACTAACCTCTATATCTCTTCCTCCCACCACCACCACCACCCCCTCTTCCACCACCATTATATCTCCCTCTATACCCTCCTCTGCCACCTCTCTCTTCCCTCTCTCCCCCTCTCTCACCACCTCTATCACCTCTATCACCCCTCTCACCTCTCTCACCACCCCTCTCTTCCCTATCTCCCCTCTCTCCCCCTCTCTCACCACCTCTCTCACCACCTCTCTCACCACCTCTCTCACCACCCCTTTCTTCCCTTTCTCCACCCCTCTCACCACCTCTCTCATAATCCGCCATATTCGCGCGTGCGCTTTCACCCGTATTCCGTAACGTATTCCGTAACGTATTCGCAACCCGTAACCCGTAATCCGCAGCTCCTAGCTAGGCCTTAACTTAACTCGCAACCTCACACTTCTCACTTCACACTTCTCACTTCTCCCTTCTTACTTCACACTTCTCACTTCTCCCTTCTCCCTTTTACAATCCCCAATTCCCGTCGTCGTAGTAGTAGTAGTAGTAGTAGTAGTAGTAGTAGTATCAATTCGCGCAATATGTAAACCCCAATTCAAATCAAATTGAACTCAATCAAATTGAACTCAATCAAATTGAACAAAACAGATTGATATAGTATAATTGCGACGACGATATTTGTTGTTTACTTTTACTTTGATTCGTGAGAATTATCCGTTGTATTATTATTATTATTATTATTATTATCGAGATTCCGAGCGAGCTGACTAGCTTAAGACAAGGAAGCTCGGACTTTTTCTTTTCCGCTAACCGGGACTTGTACTCGAGTAATGATGGGTGGTTTGTTTATTCATTCGAGCTTCTACTTTCAAATACTCGAGGAGAATTAATTTACTCATAGATAACTGTTTTATAAAGAGATATAAACAAGATGGTACTTTGATATTCCAAATAATTAACGATAAATTACGTTTGTATTATAACTATAATTATTAAAAAAAATTGAACGCATCCCTCCCCCTAATATCATTCTTCCCTCCTTCCATTCCTCCCCTTTTTATCCCTCTTTATCCCTCCATCTCCCCCATCCCCCTTCCCTCCATTCCCCTTAATCACCACCCCTCCTCCTTTCCTCCTTCTCCTCCAACTCCTCCATCTCCCCCATCCCACCCTCCATCTCCCCAACAGAACAGAACGTAACAATACAGCAAAACAGCACATGAACATAAAGAAAAGAAAAGAAAAGAAAAGAAAACAGTCCATCCATCCATCCCTCATCTCTCATCCTCATCTCTCATCCTCATCCCTCATCCCTCCATCCCTCAAATCACCATCACCATCACCATCACCACACCATACCATACCATACCTCCTCTCCATCACACATACACATCACCATCCCTCCATCCCTCCATCCTTCAAATCACCACAACCATCATCACCATCACACATCACCATCCCCCATCCCCTAACCATAACCTCAATCCCAACACCAACCCAATTCACATCACATCCCATCCCAAACATAATCACATCACAATCACCCCAAACAAGAAGAACAAGCAATTAGAAGCATAAGAAGAAGATAACATCTTTATTTATTAGCCTATTCCATTCCATTCCATTCCATGCAATATTGATCGGTCATTTGAATAATACCACACAAAACATTTCATGCCCATTTCCCATTCCCATTGCCATTGCCATTGCCATCACCCGAATCAAATTTAAGAACAAAAGTACGCCTGAATCTTTTTCTTGGTGTCGTTGTTGGAGTGGAGTGTTGGAAGATCGAGTACGTCAAGAGAACAAACAGAAGAAGAAGAAGAAGAAAAAGGTCGAAGAAAAAGAGGTCCAGCCACCCAATCTCCCCATCACACGAGGGCACAACACAACGTGGGAACACTTTGAGAAAAAAAAAATCAAAAAGAGCAAAAAGGGCCATATTTTTCTTCCTCATGCAAAAAAAAATGTCTAATAACGAGGTGCCGATAGAAGTATTCGTTGAATCCCATAAACCACCACACCATTTCACAACCCCTTCATGAACCAATAACGATCATATTCATCCCCACCCCCCTCCTTTCCCAATGACCGCGTTTCGAGTCCCAAGGGAGTAGCCTTAGCTGAACTGAAAACTCGTGCTCAACGAAAATTCCACCTTATGGGTATTCCTATCAAACCAAATAACGCATACCATCATCATAGACTAATTTCGTATTCCTGCCATGCGTCGCCCGGACTTCCACAGAATTGTTTTGATCTGCCAACGTTGCAGACGAGAGATGCAGAACCTGTAACATGCTGGGAGGGTTGTTATAGCCGGGTGTATCGCTCGAAAAATTTCGACTCCATTGCAGAGTCCATAGGTCGAGCGACAGGAAAGCATTCATTCATCAGTCATTCGCGTAAACTTCTCCCCTCAATCTAATCTTGCCACCATCGCATCTCTCGTCAATGGTTTGAAATCTGGGCTATCAATGTCGAGTTTGCTATCCCGCTCTACCAAACTCGCTCGCATGTATTGCGGAACCAGCCGTTGATTGTGTTCAGGGGCGATAGATAATTCTGTCATCATGCGTCAATATAATAAACTTGCATCACATAAGATTCATAGCATACCATGAAGAGAAAAGTCAAACAAAGTTGGGAGGTTCTTTGATGAATTGCCAGGGTGGCGGGAATCCGGGAATGTCTTATCTGGTTCACGCAACTCGTCAAAGAACGGGTGTATCATAGCTTCAATGGCTGAAAGTCTCTCTGTAGGAGTGTACTCTAGCAATTTCGAGATAAGCTCAATGGCACTAGCGTCGGCCTTGCGGAAGACCTTGTTGAACGGGTGTGGTTTGATCTGTGGGAACTTGTGCTCCATATAATTCGGGTTCATGGTACGGATTTGGTCTCGAGTAGGTGTGCCCAGAACCTTGATGATTTCGACCAGTTGATCAATACCAGATTCACCAGGGAAGAGGGGTTGTCCAAGCATTAATTCTGCCATCACGCAACCAGTTGACCAGACATCTATTCCAGCAGTTAGCATCAGCTATTCACATTCCATCGTGTAAAAGATTCTCACCAATCTTAGTTGTGTAGTTAGTAGCACCGAAAATCAACTCTGGTGCTCTGTAGTAGCGGGAGCAAATGTATGACACGTTTGGCTCGTTCTCTACGAGTATCTTTGCACTACCAAAATCACACAACTTCAATATTCCACTGCTAGGGTCTAGAAGTAAATTTTGTGGCTTGATATCACGATGGCAGATGCCTTGAGAGTGGATGTAGGCGAGGGCGCGGAAGAGTTGGTAGATATAAAGCTTCACCTCGATGATCGGCATGGTAGTCTTCATCTTGTTGAAATATCTTGATGCGCGATAGACGGTCTCGGGAACGAACTCTTGCACTAGATTAAGATATACTTCATCCTTCTATCGAGATGCCATTAGAGATGCCCAACATGTTCTTGCAGGAGATGTGAAAACTTACTCGCTCGCCATTCGAGTAATAGAATGCCTTTAATTCGACAATGTTGGGATGACGAACAATGCGCATGATTTGCAATTCACGATTCTATATCTGAATCAGTACTCAATATTTTATGGACTCGATATGACGTTGCGAACCTTGAATCTCTTGTCTTGCAACACGCGTTTGATGGCAGCATCTTCACCCGAAGGTGACAGCTTTGTCTGAAAGACAACACCAAAGGAACCATTTCCCACAATCTTACATTGTGTATATTGCATATCTCGAGTTTCGCCCGTAACGCCATCTTGAACCTTTTCGCGAATTACCTCTGCAGAATTAAAAATATTAGTAGAGATCAAGGATGTGGTGGTAACAAGGTAGAAGAGAGGTAGGGGGGGGGGGCAAGACCAAATGTAGGAGAGTGTATCTTACCTCCCATTCTCAAGCTCGAAAAGGCAGCAGGCCGATTTTGCGACATCTTCAAGTCCAAAACACAACACCGTTGCTATCGTGAATGTGGTGGGCTGTAAACGAGGAGAGTTGTGAGGAGACTGGTTGATGACCTGATGAAGTCCGTGTTGGGCAATTGAACACCGAGTTGTGCGACGAAGCAATCAATCGGTAATGCTTAGGTGAATCTTTTTCAATAACGTGACAGGATACCCAGTCGAAGAAATTATTCACTTCTGTTTTTTTAAGTTTTCTTCGCAAGTGTTGTATAACGGGATTATTGACCAAAGTGAGACTGCGGCTGACTGATGAGTTTTGAGTTAGTGGTTGTGATCCTTTAATGGTTGAGAGGGGTTGGTGAAAGGCGGTGGGATGGGGGTATGGGGTATGGATGGATGAGGGTGTATGTATGTGAATGTATGAATTGTATGAAATGTATGAATGAATGAATGAATAAATGAACAAGAAGAAGTTGGTCAAGGCGTACTTATTCAAGTATGTTTAGATTTATGTATTGTATTGGTTCGCAGAAGAAGACTCCGAATCGAAATTGAATTATCCGAATTGTTGTTTGCGTTTCTGTTTTTTGTTTTTGTTTTGATTTTGTTTTGATTTCTCAGTACCGTACAGGTAATGTGACAAGGTAAAATTGTAGTGTCGTTGAGTGGATAGATGTAGATGTATTGATTTGTTGATGGATGAATAGGGTGTGGGTGTGTGTGTGTGTGTGTGTGTATGCGTGTATGGTTGTGTATGGTTTGTATGGTTTCGGAGGTAGAGAGGGAGAAAGGGAGAGAGGAAGAGAGAGAGGGAGAGATTTAGAAGAGGATGAAAGTAAAGTAAAGTAAAGTAAAGTAAAAGTAGGTAGGTAAGGTAAGGTAGGTAGGTCAAGTCAACCAAGGTGGTGCAGGTGCGTGTTGTGTGTGTGGTAATTGTGTGGTAGTGGTAGGTGTAGGTAGGTAGGTAGTTAGGTAGGTAGGTAAGTAAGTGAGTGAGTAGAAAATAAGGGAAAAGAGGTGTGTCAAAAGTAAAAGAGTACTACTACTGTTGGCATCTAGAAAGGAAGAAAGAAAGTTGTAAGTTGTAAATAAAATGTTGTTAAAGTTCGAATTCAGTAGAACTCAGACTCAGATTCAAATTCAGGTTCAACTTCAGGTTCAAGGTACAGTAAGTAGGTAGGTAGGTAGGGGTAAGGTAGAAAGAAGTAGATGGGTTATTATTTCCTGGTTCTTGGCTTGGCCCGAAAGACTGACTTATGCTCACGCGCTCGGTTTTTGGAAGAAATGAGTAATAAGTAGTTTTGGGAAAAACTTGGGAAACTTGGGACTAAAATTGTCGACTGGGGGTTTTATGATTTGATGAATCTTGATAGGTTTGTCGTGGTCAGGTCATTCAGGCCGTAGTGTCCAAATTCGTAGTTAAAGTGTTCGTGCGCCTTATTCTTCACCCAATCCTAATACCCCCCCGTCCGTACCTGTACCGCAAGTCAAATGTAGGTAGGTACTAGGTACAAATAGCACCACTTCTTGGGATTTGTAGAGAGGGAAGAGAATCTTGTATGGTACGATATCAACCCGATATGGGAAATGGAGACGTTGAATTGAAGTTTTTGGATTGAAAAGCCTTCTTGATAAGTAGAAAGGGAGTTTGTAGATTATCTAATCTGATCTTTGATAAATCCAGAGGAAGTCGTAGGTAAGTCGTAGGTAAGGCTAGTTGATAGCTTCAAGTAGTCTGGAAGGAGAGAAGGAGGTAGTAGTCGTATGTAAAGAAGGCCAGAAGGATGATGTCCAGTACCGGTAGTTCAAATAAAACAATGAATGATACAGATATAACGAGAATTCGAGGCACAGTTATTGATATATCGTTCTTTTGTATTTAAAAAATCAATTTATTGCCGATTTTGATCCTTTCTAGTTTTGTTACTCTAATATATTATGGGGTAATGGTACAAGTATAACTTCAAATAGTTGGAATTGATTTGGATGGGGAAGGTACATTAAAGGGATAGTTAAATAGTAAGTGAGGTAGGACGATAGGTTGAGTTAGTGTAGAAGAGTACTTGAGTAGACTTGGTGATATTATTTTCTTGTTTACGAGTACAATTTCATAGAGGGGCGCCAATGAAGGTCAAGAAATATCAAGTAGAGAAAGAGATAGAAGTAAGTGTTTTGTTTTGGTAGTACCGGTAGGTCAAAAGGGTCGAGGTCGAGATCGAGGTCGAGGTGATAGTTACGTTAAAAGAGTGAAGTTGTCAATATGTTGCTCAAGGAGGTTGGTCTGGGTGAGGACAGGGAATTCGAGGTCAGTTTGTGCTGTGTTAAGTACCGAGTAGATGGGAATACAAGATGACCCTATTTATTGAAAATTATATGGATTTAGGGTTTGAAGAGGTTTGATATAACTCGATATGTTTATATTAATGAGAAAGAGGAAAGAGGACCTTTTCAAAGTTCCTTCGTGTCTCTTCTTGTCGATCTTTCTTATTTTGCTGCTTCTATCTTCAATCTGCACTATAACTATTGCTCGGTGTTTATTATTTGATGGTTGTAGTCGTCCACTGGGTGGGTATTATTTGAAGGTGCAGGTGCAGGTGTTTAAGTTTGGATTATGGAGCAGGAGGGGTCTCAACGAATAAGCTTCTTTCTTTTCACGATCAGCAGTGTATTAGTGGATACTTTTGATTTTAGTTTATGCAGAGGAGTGGGTAGGCACAGGGACCACCACTAGAAATAAAGCGGGTATGCTATGGAATCGCTTAATCCTTTAGTGTTTAAATTAGCGTGGTTGAACTGATGTTTTGTTGCATGCGTTGCTCTTGCTCTTTGGTCTTTTCTTTCTGCATTGCATTTTGGTGGTTGACACAGGGGCAAAAAGGCAGGGCAGCAGGGCAGGGTTAACCATTTTTATAGGACTCGTGGAAGCACTGGAGAAAAGAAAGATGGGAAAAACAAGGATTAAATGTATAAAGATATAATGAGATAACTTAGAGGTAAATAAGCACCAAGAATAGCCAGCCAGTAATAGAAATAATAGCAGGCGAGTAGTTGAATAGTATAGATGTAGTAAAAATAATATAGACAATCTATATTTCTAGATAAATGTATAAATATCCTTGATATAATTAATATCTTCAAGTATAAACTTTGAAGCTCCAAAGGAAATTCGTGATTTGAATTTGTTTTTAGCAGAGTATACCACCAGTACTATAGTAAAAAGCTCAATGCGGGACAAATAATGAGGGGTTCGAGGTTCGAGGTTCTAGGCATTTGAATAGATCTTGTTTTTGCTTAGAAGTATTTCTTTTACAAGTTCTCTGAAAAAGATCTTAATTTTGATAAATGATGTTGTGAGAGGATACTGTACAATCAATGACTTTGATCAATTATTGATAGGAGATATTCATTCCAGCTTGTGATACAAATACAATCAGTGACAATCAACTCTATAGTACAGGAAACTGTGTGATGTCTGGATTCTTGTGAATGATGGATTGAAATATACAGTACAGTTATCAAAGAACAAAGAAGAAAGCTTTTTTTTTCTTTCTCCTTATTCAATTGATTGATTGATTGATTGATATTTACTCATTGAACTTGTATGAGTAAATGTAATTGATTGATGTCATTTTTTACCTAGATGTTCAATGCTGGAAATCACTTGTTCAAATACAGTAGTAGGTATTGTTGATATACTACACTTAACTCACCAGATAATGCCACGAAAAAGGTCAAAAAGGCTTCTTGATTTCTTGGCTAAGCCAGTGACCGGGTTGACATAAACAAAAAGGATTGATGATTCGCGGTTTAGATATTATGTCCTACCCTATGCAGTTCATTCATATTTCTTGTATTTCCCGTACCAATACCTAGGTACCGAGTACAATTTTCCCATGTCGAGATTTGAAGCCAATCCTCACCTCCATCCTGGTCACTTGGTCCCGTACATTGTACTCCAAGAATGACCATATGCGTCCCCAACCTTTCAACCCGACTGGTAAAGGAGACTTTTGTGGTAGGGCAGGCGTAACCATTGTTTAGGTGAATTACATCGCATCAGATATATTAGGTAGGCGACGACGAGGGTAAATAATATATTGACCTGGTGCTTCATGCCACAGAATCCGAGCCTTCTTTCTTTCCTTCTTTCTTGCTTTCTATCAAGGGATGTTCCTTGACGATTTCCCGGAGAAAGGGGGCTCACGAGGTAAATGGATCTTACGCTTTCGTCTCACTAGGAGGGGGGTTGATGGACTCGAAAAGGATGCAAAAGGACCCGTCATTCAGCGCCAAGAACCGGGTACCCATATTGACTACAACATCCAGATGAAGCAGTGTATAATGTCTCTACGGGTGTAACTCGTACCGTTAATATATCAATACGGTAGGTTGCCGGCCACGGAGAGACACAAGATACCCTGAGATACCATTCCAATGAGATGGGATTATGGGAAACGACATTCCCATATTCATAGTATCGTGTCCATGAGGCTCCTTTCGGATAACTCGAGTTCGAATCATCTTGGACAGACAAACAGACAAACAGACAAACAGGGACCGCTTGATATGAACTGATACTCGAGTAAGTAATCTCAACGAACCTCCTTTTAGAATATAAGATTCCGGCGAACGAGTATGACAAGTTTCTAATCCTATCCCTTACCACATCACATCAATCCACACGGAGGAAAAAGACGGGGAAGACGGAGGGCGCGACATAATGATTCTCAACTTCTGCTACCGCCGTACATACATCCATCCATCCATCCATCCTCATGCTCTACCTCATCTCTCTACCCACTGGATGGGACTTGCTGTCTTTCTTTTAAATATACAGTTATTGTATATATGTGCTCCCATGATATAATATGATATGATATGATATCTCCATGCACAAGCACCATATATAATATGCATGCAGCGAGCGCAGTATGCACCATGCACCATGAACCCAAAGAGGTAATCAGCTTCATTCAGCAACTGAGTTCCAGTAGAGTAAGTATACTGTAGAGTAGCACCATGAACCAAT